AAGACCCCCAACTTGCATGAGTACCAATTGAAGGAATTGTCCTCTATTTGACCTCTCTTCATTACCATAATAAATGACATACCCACCAGCACCATGACAGTTCCCGCTTAGTCCATATGTGACCAAAAAAGGGGATGGCAACCCAATTCTCAGAAATCCCCATCCCATTCCACAGTCCAGAAAGATTTATGAATATTCCTTCCCTCAATTAAAGGTAACCCATCTTCTAACCAAACCCATAACATTGCAATGCCAGTGGAGCTCGGGGAGCCACATCCATTCTCTTGGAGTGCGCTCGCATGGTACATCAAGCTTTCGCTTTAATAAACCTTGCAAAACTATTTTGCCCTCTCTCTTAATTTCGATCCTCAGAGGGTCAGTGACCCCAGTGCTGATAACACTAAGGGCACAAAAAGGACTCATCAATGTCCTCGACCTCATTGTCTGAGTGGTGGTGCCACCTCCAGTGCAATACACCGAACAAGGGGTATCTCTAGAGTACCCAATCTCTGCATGGAATTTTGTGGTATACCAACATTGCCATAATTACTGCTGAGATATTTATTGTGCAATAAATACGTAGAAGATTTACAGCTATAGAAATGACTTGAATATACCTCATCATTACAGCAGATGTTATTGTCAGAATAAAGTGATTCAGATGTCATAGCTTTCATTGTCAGAAAGGCTGTTTGTGCCCATTTTTCTTTTTGATTCATTCTAGACTTTATTTTGACTTCATTCTTGGCATTGCTGGAAATTCAGATCCTTTTTATTTTGTTTGACAGATTTGGTATTTCTGGATCCTGTATATTAAGATTTTCTCATGTATAAGCCATTCTGAAGAGTTGGACACATTATCAGGTGCCCAAAGTGCTCCCCGTAGACCTTCTCCCGCTCCCAGTCAAGGGTGTTGGAGAACATCCTAGAGGAGACCTCAGTGAGGACCATGGATGGCTTCCTGAAGGCTATTAGCCATGTGGCTAGGAGCCCCTTGCCCACAATAACCACGCACCATACATGTTCTGCCCTTCTTCCTGAAATCTTCTTTTCTCCTCTCACCCTTAGCCGCTACCCCTCTGGGAAATGACTGTTTACATCTATTCTGCAGCTTTCCCCTTGAAAATAGCAGTCATCCTGTGCTTCATTCACTCATTTTCACTGGTATCTACTGCTTCTATAAGGCTTGTTTCTATCCACAGAGTCCCACATCCATTCCCTCTTCTTCTCAAAGATGGAAAATTCTTTGAAAACAAAGACCATATCATATTTATTTTTACTTCTTTACTCCTATAATGCTTGTCACATAATGTGGTCTCAAAATGTATCTATTGAAAGACCAAAGGATTTTTTATGAGTATTATGAGATGTGGGTCAATATTGTTAAAAAAGGAAAATAATGATAATCATTTATATCCCAAGTCAGGGAATTTCAGAAAATTATAAATGTATATTCTTTAGGACATATCACACAGCTTCCTCTCCTGGTAATGTGAAATTTCTCAATTTTTGCACCTGTTTTCTTGGCTACACTTAGATAGTATTCATCTATAAAAGTAAAGACCTTTACAAATTACAGTCATAAAATACAATGAAAAAGAATATTATAAGATGTCTTACAATTTGGAGATTTAAGGAGAGAACCTTTACAATAGACACTTACTAGATCAAGAATAGTGTTAGAAATGTGTGAAGTAGAATTTGGAAGCTTTTATTAACCATTGCAAGCAATGAAGTTCTAATAGTTAGCCATTACTTTATTATTTAGCAACCTGGAGGTATTAATGCAGGATCTAAAATTGTCTTGACATTTTCTCATTACCTTTTGAATTAAATATTCAGAAAAGCACACAAACAGTTTGAGAAAATACATCTTGTATGCATTCACAAAAGCAACTTTTTTTTAACTTCGCCTAGTTTACCTTCCTAGAACTAAACCTAATGATTAGACTTCATTATTTTAGCATTATCTCTGATCTCTTGGTGAACAAGATTTTAAAATGATTTATGACTTACATTAATGTGGTCTATGTTGCAATCAATTTTCAGATTTTTAAAAAAATTTTTAACCTTGAAAGAATTCTAGGAACATCTGCTTTTAAATGCACTCATAAGGATAAAAATAAAATTCAGAACCAGCTGTTTTACAGGTTTGCATATTCATACCATATATAGTTTCTTCAGTCATAACAATATGATTTAATTTATTTTTTAAATAAGAGTTTGGGCAGCAGGTTGCAAAGCAGGAAACTGACATTCATTAAAAAGTCACTAAACTTCTTCTGAACTAATCTATAAATATCAGTGGATTTCCTATGGTAAATCAGTTTTCCAACGTGGATATGCTGGATTTATTTAAAAAAATGATTGTCGATGCTAAACTTTTTTTTAAAATTAGGCTTTAAAAGGTTAAATTTGTAGGGTAATGAATACCAGTTGGCCTCACAGTGTTCTGTCAATGTGGTTACTGATTTTTAAATAAAATTTGGGATTAAAATAATTCATTTAATGACCTACCTTTAATGTTTTTGGTATATTTTTAAATTTTTATTTAGAGATTTAAAATTCTTTCCAATTGGCTTTAAACTTGGAATGATCATGTTTCAATAAATTATGAATTATAAAATGTTTTCTCAATCACCTTTAAATATTTCATTTATATTTTTGAACATAGCCAGATTTACTATAGATATCAAATGAATTAATAAGGTTGCTTAATGATATTTACAACATAAATATTTAATATAGGGTCTTTCCTCTAGACTTTTAAGAAAGATAAAAGCAAAAATATATAATAGTGTTTTGTAAAGAAATTCAAAAAAGGCCTTAAAAAAATCACTTTTACTTTCCCTCATATATAATGAGATTTTCTGTTTCTTCTTGATTAAGCTTTGGTCCTTTCCATATTTTGCAGATGTTGTTCCTTTGTCTTCTAGTTTGCAGTATTTCAGATGTGAAAACTGCTGCCATTCTAATCTGGTTCCTCTGTACATAATGTCTCTTTTTTGGGCTGCTTTTGAGATTTTCTTTGTTCCTGGATTTGAGCAATTTGATTTTGATGTGTTATGGTGTAGTTTTTTTTCTTGTTTCTGATATTCGGGGTTTGTTAAACTTCTTGAATCTCTGGGTTCATTTTTTTTTGGAAAATTCTCAGCCTATATTTCTTCAAATATTTTTCTGTCTTTCTGCTCTCTTTATTTTGCTTCAGAGACTATTTGACCAGTCAAAGTTTTTCCACAATTTAGTGACCTTTCCTCCTTCCTTCCTTCCTTCCTTCCTTCCTTCCTCCCTCTCTCCCTCCCTCCTTTCTCTTTCTTTCCTTCTCTTTTCTTTCTTCTTCCTTCCTCTTCCTTCCTTCCTTCCTTCCTTCCTTCCTTCCTTCCTTCCTGTTATACTCTGTTACATTTTAGATAGTTTCCATGTCCGTGTCTTCAATTTCAGTACTTTTTTCTTCTGCAATGCCTTATATGACATTAGTGTCATCTAGTGTATTTTTTGAAATCTACTACATCGTGGTTTTTTATTTCTAGAAGTTTCATTCAGGTGTTTTTTAATATCTTCTCTATCTCTTATTAACTACTTAATCTCTTAGCCTCTCGAGCATATGGAATGTGTCTGAAGGCCTTGCCTACCACTACTGTTATCTATCATTTCTGAATCAGTTTTAATTGATTTTTCTCCCCATCGTAGATTGTATTTTTCTGCTTCTTTGCATACCTGATTTTTTTAAATTGGCTACTAGATATTGTGAATTTTATTGTGTTGGGTATTGAATATTTTTATATCTCTTAAAATTCTTTTGAACTTAGTTTGAGATACAATGAAGTTACATGGAAATAGTATAATTTAGGGAGTCTTGTTTTTAAGACTTGTTAAGTAGGGCCAAAGCATCATTAATTCTAACTTTAACTTTTTTCTACTTATAAGGCAAGATACTTCTTAAGTAGTCTAATTAATGTTCTATGAATTATGAAATTTCTCTCCCTCTCTGTTGGCTCATGTGTGAGATATAAGCACTGTCCTCTATAAACTTTGTGAGTAGCTCTTTCCTCAGTCTTGGTCTGCTTACTAGAGTTTTTCTTCTTAAATTTGTAGATAAATATAATTAATGATGGATGTATAATAGGAAAAAGACAAGAAGATTATAGAATTTTTGAAAGTTTCATTTGAAATATTCTTATCTGTCGTGCCATTCATAATACTGAGTACTTATGTTTATTCCTAACCAGTGTCCTCTGGAAGATTTTGGAATATGGTTTGTAAACATTAAAATATTTTAAAAGAATTTGGGATTAAAATACATTTTCATAAAAGAGGTTGGTTAACATTCTTTTATTTATGCTTCGATATTTTCTAATTTTTATAGGATATAAAACGTGATTGAATTGAACATTTATTTGGCTGATTCTCATCATGAACCGTGCTTTTAGCAGAAAGAAAGGTAAGTGTGCCCATTTAATGGACCCAGGGTGGTCAAAATGAATACTACTATGAAAAGCAAGCAGAGATGTTAAGAAATCAGTTTTTTCCTGTTACCAAACCATGTGGTTCAGGAATGAAGTTAAAAGAGAGCAACACATTATCAATTAACCTTTTTTTTTTTTTTTTTTGGTTATTACTCTAATGAAAGAGTGGACTTAATATACTTAGTTCAAAATACATTTGTGACATCATGTTCTCTGACAATTTTATTTTGTGTTGTGAAACTACAAAAAAAATAAAGTGATTTGAAACTAATCCTAACTTCACCTCACATAGCCATACAATAATACTAAATTCCCTGGGTTTATATTTAAATTCACTTGTGTATGTGTGTGCATGCGCTTTACTTTTAATTGAATAATATGTGAAGATTGATGATAGGTGAATTGATAGCAATGAAACTAAAATGTTTGTTACAATTTTAAGGTAGGAATTTAAAATAAACAAAAATGTAATATCATTACAAGAATGAAAGAAACAGCTTTATTTTTTTTTAAGGGGCAATAAATGGCATTTGACAAAATATTTCATGATATACTCATAGGAAAGATAGGAAAGTTTGATAGTTTTATCTAGTTCAGTGAAAGTAAAATAATGTATCTTTTCATCTCTGGTGGGTACAAGGCTCTCTCCTGTTTAACATGCTGTCACTGAATTGGGAGAGAAAGCACACAGTGCTGCTCAAGTTCTTAGATGATTGAAAGCTGTAGAAGATAATTGACATGATAAGATTACAGATATGTATGGAGCAGATGACTGGTTGGGTCATATTATACACTATAAACTTAATAAGATACTGTTAATTGCCAAACATGGATTAAGGAAATCTAACATTTTTATTGTTATTTATATAATGTTATTATTTGGAGGATGTACTTTAAGTGTTATGTGGGTAAAAAAAAAAAAAAAAATAGCCGAAGAATAAAGTCAACAGTGTCATTATCAAAGATTCCAGTTCATTTTCTAATGCATGAATGAATAGTGAACAGTCCAGAACCCAGGGAATAGATTGTTGTGTTCTATCCCATGCAAGTCAGATACAACTAGTCTCTTTAAAGGACTAGTTGACACATTGTAACATGCCCAGATGAGAAAGGCTGGGATGACTTCAGGACTTTCAGCCCTGCAACAGGAAAGCATGGCTGAGAACTCTTGGTATGGTTCTATAAGAGTTGTCTTTCAGTATTTGAAGGGCCATCATTTGATCATGGGACTAAGTTTAATACAGTACAGATAGGTGTAAATTATACAGTCATTGATTGAATGTTGGAAAAATAATTCCAAGAAAGTTGTGCAAAAATATAATGGAATTACTCAAAGTATTAACTTATTTTGTAACTGAAATGAGAGGTGTTTATTTGGATGTGGTACCGAGGATTAATGTATTTAGCAGGGATTTAGGTAATGTGATCTTTCAGGTACTTTTCAACCCTTGGAAGATAGGAATTTATTATTTTACTTTTCTGAATAAGGGAAAGGCAAAGTGACATTTATTGTGCTCTGTAGCTTGCTTCTGATTTAAAACATATACTGAAAGTAAAATAATGTTTCTTTGTTTATTACTTTTACTAGTAAAAAATAATCTAGAAACAATTATCTAATAGATGAAGTATTTCTAGTAAAGTAATAAAAAACCTTACATATCAACTTATCACTTTAATCACACTATCTTATTTTTAAAAAACCCTTCTGGACCTTCTCTTTTTATTTTCCTACGATTCTCTTTCTGATGGTTTTAAAGTTGAAATTCCACATTTCTGATTAACTCTTTATTTGAAGGGAATCTGGAGAGCTTTTTCATTGAGAAATTCCAACTGTTAGATGGTAATATGAGTAACTAGCAATTGTATATTTCTCATTTGAAGATGGTGGGAATAACAACCATGAGGAAAATTAGAGTGATTTAACCTTTTTGGCACCAAAGACCAGTGCTCCTATGAGAATCTAATGCCTGATGATCTGAGGTGGAGCTGAGGAGGGATGCTGGGCTGAGGAGTGGCTGCAAATACAGATGAAGCTTTGCTTGCTTGCCCGCCACTCACCTTCTGCTGTGCAGCCCAGTTGCTAACAGGCCATGGACCAGTACCGGTCCACGGCCCCGGGATTGGGGACCTCCGATTTAGAGAATCAAGAAGCATAAGTACTTATTTCCTACTTTGCTTCATTGTATTTAAATTTCTTTTGACTTCTCTTATTTTTTCAGATTTAATGATTGTATATCCTTATCTGGAAATTATTAATATTTTACTCGAATTCCAGTTTAGAGCTTGATGCTGGAAATTCCACCCTAAGTTCACCAATTGCTTCTGATTCTCTCATATAGTGAGATTGTTAGGGAAAAATTATTAGAGCCTCGCTCCTAGTTTCAACCAATAGCACTATTTGATTGAATTTTAATTTGAGTTGGAAAACTTGAATTATATGAGAGAATTCATATGTCTTGACAATAGGGAGTTTAATTATAGCACTAGAGAATATATAATTCAATTTATCTTTTCAATAACTAGCATCTACAAACACCGTGTTACCGTACTCTAAACACAGTGTTTAGTAAGACAGGCTTCTATCACTAAAAACTTATCTCTTATTTCATAGGTATCCAATTTACTTAATTATCATGTGCAGCATTGCTAAATCATCCAGGGCCTCAGAAGCCTAAGGAAAAGAGATTGTTATCTTAAACCTAAATGTAATTTTATTTTCTCTTTTTATTAAATTCTCCAATTAGTAATTTGCCTGCTATTTGATTGAATTAGCTAGGTACTTCACTGATTTCTTTGCAAATGATCTAATAGTATTAGAGCTGCTCATAGATTCTGAAAAGACTGAATGTATTAGAATTTCTCATTTTGTACAGTTTTGAATAGTTATATAAAAATTAGTCTAAATTCATAATCATTAATTAAATTTTAATCAACATTGTTTTATAACTCCTTTATGTGAGCTTTCTCTTTGAATTTTTAAAAAATCCTATATTTTATTTATTACATAAAAATGAATAATTTAGTAAAAAAGCATAAACATAGCATGAGAATAAATGTGATTAAATAATGCAACTAATTATACTTTATTATCCTTATCAATTGACATACTGATGAGTAGATATAATCATAGTCGTGATTAGAATTCAGTATTTAAATATTACTTTTCTTTTTGTGATCCATTCATATGCATCCATTCATTCAACAATATATAGTTTTAAATTTAATACACTCAAAGCATTAAACTCTGATAGGACAAGAATAAAGAAATTGCTGCATCTGTTTTTATGAGGTCTTAATCTAAATGCATTTTGAATATCTAGATTTATTGACCTAGCAGTGAAAGTGGTTTGAAAATTGTTAAATATTTTGAAATGCTGGCATCTCCTTTTATGTGAATGTTCACTATTGAATATGTGATTATAGTTTAATTTCAAGGAAGGGAACATGTTCTGTATATATACTACTTATACTAGAGGTTTGTAATGAAGAACCACTGAACTATCAGTACTTGTTGTGTGGATATAATTTTTTTGTCATTGTAACAACTGCTGCTTGTCCACCAGTAATTTAATATTGTAATTATTTTAGTCTGTCACCAGTAACAGTTGGATATGCCTATTCCCTTTCTTGGTCACTGCAGTATAAGAGTATAACAGAGGTAATATCAGTTTTCAAATAATAGTGGCTTACAGGAGAAAGTAGTTATCTATCCGCCTCAGGATTGGAGTGAGCCAACATATTCAGACTTCAGTCAGATTTTACATCCTTTCCGAGAAGTGTTGTATGTCTGGAAAAGGAAACATGACAAAAAATTGAGTTAAGAGATGAAAAAAATAATTGGTTATCTTTTTAAGTTTCCTAAAAGCAGGTGTTTGTTGTTCTCATTATTTTGGTGTTTTTATTGTATTGTTATTTATTTCTTTTAATATATGAGGGCAAGATTATAGCCCAAATTTAAGTATAAATTATCCTTGAATTAATTGTGTCACTATCCAGTAGCAATCTTTAAAAGAAAATGATAATTAAAATGAAAATTCATACAAGAAACAAGAGTTTTACACATTAATGTCAATGTCAATATATGTCAATATTGCTTTTCAAAGTCTGGAACGTATTGCTTCTCAAAATGTTTCACCCAGCTACAGCTATCACATATCCACTTCCATAGTCAGGAATAGTCCTGAAATACACTGTGAACATGGGATTTCATTGATTCCTGTTTTGCCTTAGAAATTCTTGTGAATATTGCATTGTACTCCAGAATCATGTTTAATATAAATATAGTGCATTATCCTTCATATGATATAAAATAATTGACATTTCAGAAAAAATATGCCATTTTTTTCTGTCTTTACATTTTTCCAGTTTCAGAAGAACATATTAATGCTATCAAACTAGGTTCTGTTAACACCATTTTCAAATGTTCTGAATCGAATGTTGAAAACACTTTGTTAGTATTCTAATATTTTCTTTCAGTATGGATATATATTTTTCATGGTAAAATATGTCTGATATTATTCTCCTTATAATAGTGATTCTAAATTTGTTAATTCCCGTGAGGAATAAAACATTCATAAAACTTTACTAAAAGAAGCAACATATTTGAAGATTGAGAAGTCTTACTATAAAAAATGCATTTAAAAAATAACAATTTGGCTTATGTAAACAATATTTTTTGCTTTTTTCTCACTTATGAATTCAACAAAATAATTGAGAAGCTATGTGGAATATATAAAATTCAATAATATATGTTAGTTTCAATATCTTCTATCATTTTAGTTACTTTTATTTCTAATATTCAATTATACTAAACTAAGGAACACCTTAAATTAAGATTATTTCTGTCAAAAAATCCTGATAATAGATCCTCAATGTTTCTCTAAATTTAGACTAAAATAATTATTCTAATATTATATTGCTTTCTAAAAGAACTTAAATTGACTTATTTCAATTTTACATAAATGCAGTTGTTTATTTTTTGGACACAGTAGAAGACCATTTATTTTTGATTTCAAAAACAATAAATATACAGTATAAGGAAACAGAAAAGTATAAATTTACAGGAAAAAAAGCATTACATTCTTAGTATAAATATCTCTCCTACCTTCTTTCCTGCCTTCCTTCCTTCCTTCTTTCTTTTTTAATTTTTATTATTTTTAATAACCTTTTATTTTTCAATTACGGTTGACATACAACATCATACTAGTTTCGAATGTACAACAAAACGACTAGACACCTATACAACTCACAAAGTGATCAGTCTGACAAATCCAGCACCCACTGACACCACACATAGCTAACACAGTAGTACTGACTACACTACCCACACTATACCCCACATCCCCATGACCATCCTGCAACTACCAATTTCCTCTTTTCACCCATCCCTACCCCGCAATCTGGCAACCATGAAAATGTTCTCTGTATCTATGAGTTTGTTTCTGTTTTGATTGTTCATTTATTTTGTTTTTTTTAGATTCCACATATAAGTGAAATCATATGGTTTTTGTCTTTATCTGACTTACTTCACTCATAATAATACCCTCTATGTCTATCTATGTTGTTGCACATGGCAAGGTTTTATTCTTTTTTATAGCTAATAGTCCGTTGTAGGTATGTACCACTTCTTCTTTATCCATTCATCTATTGATGGACACTTAAGTTTCTTCCATATCTTGGCTATTGTAAATAATGCTGCAGTGAACATAGGGGTACATATGTCTTTTCAGATTAGTGTTTTGGTTTTCTTTAGGTAAATACCCAGAAGTGGGATTGCTAGGTCTTTCTTTGTCTCTTGTTATAGCCTTTGTTTTAAAGTCTACTTTGTCTGGTACAAGTATTGCTACCCCAGCTTTTGGTTTGTTTGTTTTCATTTTTATAAAATACCTTTTTGCATACCTTTACTTTCAGTCTGTGTGTGTCTTTCAATCTGAAATGAGTCTTTTGTAGGCATATGCAAGGGTCTTGTTTTCTTATCCATTCAGCCACCCTGTCTTTTGGTTGGAGCATTTACTTTATTTACATTTAAAGTAATTGTTGACAGATATGTAGTTATTGTCATTTTATTATTCATATTTTTGACTTTTTTCCCCTTCAAGAAGTCCCTTTAACATTTCTTATAATACTAGTTTGGTGGTGATGAACTCTTTCAGCTTTTTCTTGTCTGGGAAGCTCTTTATCTGTCCTTCGATTCTAAATGATAGCTTTGCTGGATAGAGAGTAATCTTGGTTGTGGGTCTTTAGATTTGATCACTTTGAATATTTCGTGCCAATAACTTCTGGCCTGCAAAGTTGATTTTGGGAAATCAGCTGACATTGCAATGGGAACTCCCTTGTAGGTAATCAATTGCTTTTTTCTTGCTGCTTTTAAGATCGTCTCTTTGTCTTTAAACTTTGGCATTTTAATTATGATGTGTCTTGGTGTGGGCTTCTTTGGTTTCCTCTTGTTTGGGACACTGCTGTTCCTGGACTTGTATGTCTATTTCCTTCACCAGGTTAGGAAAGTTTTCAGTCATTATTTCTTGAAATCAGTTTTAAATTCCTTGCTCTCTCTCTTCTCCTTCAGCTACCCCTATAATGCGAAAGTTGGTCCACTTGGTATTGTCCCAGATGCCCCTTCAACTGTCTTCATTTTTTTGGGAGGGATTCTTTTTTCTTGTTGCTGTTCTGATAGGGTGTTTTCTACTATTACATCTTCTAAGTCACTAACTCGATCCTCTGCTTCATTTGATTTACTGTTGATTCCCTCTAATGTATTCTTCATTTCTGACTGTTTCTCTTTTATGTTTTCTACCTCCATTTTTATGTTTTCTTTCTCTTTGTTGATGTTCTCATTGAGATCATTGAGCATCCTTATAACCAGTGTTTTGAACTCTGCATGTAGTAGCTTGCTTATCTCCATTTTGTTTAGTTCTTCTGGAGCTTTGTTTGTTTTTTCATTTGGGACATGTTTCTTTGTCTCCTCATTTTGACTGCCTTTCAGTGTTTGTTTCTACTTATTAAGTAGAACTGCTATGTCTCCTGGTCTCGGTAGGGTGGCCTAAGTAGTAGGTGCTTCATGGAGCCAGCGGTGCAGTCTTCCTCATCACCTGAGCCAGGTGCTCCAGGTGTGTTAGTTGTGTGGGTTTGTGTGTGCCCTCCTGTTGTAGTTGAACCTTGATTGCTGTTGGGATGTCAATGGGAGGGATTAACCCTTGGGCTGATTTGTTATAAGAACTGGTAGGTGACTACAGTGGAGGAGCTATTGTGCAGGTGCTGACCCTATGGAGCAGGATTTGCTTTAGTGGGGCTCTGGTCTCTGCTGAATCTGCCCTTTTGATGTGTTGTTTGTAGAGGTGGTTGGGTGGTGCTCTGGTGTGGTCTGAAGCTGGCTACCAGATGTGTTGGTTCTGGAGCCTCTTGGGAGCCAAAGTCAGCCTATGTCCTGCCTAGGGCCACTTGATATGAATGACAAAGTGATCTGCAGATGGTGGCCACTTGTGCTAGGTGTGGAGATGCCTAACAGAGGCTAAACTGTGGACTGAGGCCTGCTGCTGTTAGAGCCTGACTTGGGGCTGCTTAGCAAGAGGTAAGCATCACACTGAGGGCAGATGCCAATTGACTAGGATTTGTGAATCTTTGAGAGATTTTATAAAAGTCCACAGCATGAGCCAAAACAGATCATTTGTATAGAAAAGCCACTGGATGTGACTTGGGTTGGCCCACAAATTGGGTGGGAGCGGGGTCTCAGGGTAGGGTGGGGTGCACCATATTAGCGAGGTTGATGGAAGCTCAATTATGGCTCCAGTCTATGTGTGCCGGCTGGGTGAGGGTGAGGGTGGGGGTGGGGGCTCAACAAAGGAATAGTGGCCTTTGTCAGCATTTCTGGCTTGGAGAAAGCTGTCCTCCCAACTCTTGCTCTGAAGTCAGTCACTTTAGTTCCTCCCCTATATGCCTGGTGTCTTTTGAGCTGCTGCCCCAGCACTGGAAGTCAGAGTGAGTCAGTCCATCAGCAAGTAAGTCCATGTGTGTGTGGGCTCTTTTAAAGGAACACCTGTGACTCCAGCAGTCCTCCAATCTCACTTGCCACAATCTCCACTGTTTTTCACAGACAGAAGTTATGGGGACTTCTCTTCCCCATATTAGAAGCCTGGGCTGGGGACTTGATGTGAGGCTAGTAGTACCCTTCATTTTTCAGAAAAGACCTCTGCAGCTGAGATATCCCTCCCAATTTTTAACTGCCACACCACACGGGTGTGGGACCAGCCCATTCCGCATCTTTGCCCCTTCTACCCATCTCCATGTGACTTCTGTTTATCCTTAGTCATAGCACTTCTGTTCAGCTAGACTTCAGGCAGTCCTCAGTGATGGTTGTTCTGAAGTTTAGTTGCAATTTTGAGGTGGTTGTGGGAGGAGGCTAGCACAATGTTTTTCCTACTCTGCCATCTCAACCATAATTCTGTTAGTTTAATATTAAAATTTCCTATTACTAAATAGTTAATTATTTGCTAAAGAATAATAATAATGAGTAAAGAGAAGGTTACTTTTTATTGATTAGGGAATTAAGCAAAATATCCTGTAATTCATGAGAGTATAAAGTAAAAAGAGAAAGATATTACATAATTAATCACATAATTGATATAGTCATAGCCCAACTGCTGTTATCATTTCTTTATATTTTAAAAAAAATCAGTAATGTTTGACTCATTTGAAGACATTTAAAAAGAAAAGCAGAGACTTTTATACTAAAGAGAGAATTCTATAATCACTTTCCAGGGGCCTCGTTCTTACATCTGGCTACTTATTCTTTCTTATTTTAGCAAAAGAATCTCAGAATTAGAAATTCTCCCACCCATATTATATTCCTTACAAATGCTAATACATGAATATGACACTCTTGGAAACTACAATTTAATTTAACACTTTGTATTCTTTTTTGCAGACAAAACATGGATGCATACGCCTGAAGCTTTATCAAAACATTACATTCCCTATAATGCAAAGGTAAAATAGTTTATATGATATTATTGAATTTTATTTGTTATACTATTATTACTCATTCATGATTGATCTTAGAAAGTTTATGAATTTGCATTTCCTGGTAGATAATTCCTGACAAAATTTGCATAAATAAAATAATCTTGTAGTGTGTACTATGGTAAGTTATTTTTCTCTCCAAATAAGTAATATTAAAAAAAGTATTCTTTATAATTTTTGTTTAAGTCACACACATATTTCTTTTAATAATTTTGGCTGTTGTTAAAGTTATTTGCAATATCATGGCCTATAGGAAATAAAATAACCAACAGATTAGTGTTCTTTAAAAACATTTTAATGTTGTATTATACAAACAAACATAAAAACTAACCCGGATATGAAAGAAATAAGCTTCAATTTTAATGAATGTAATTATCATCCAAAAAAGGAGTCAAAAAAACCCTAAAATTATTAAGAAAATAGAAAGGAGTGCATTTTTTGGTGAATCTTTTGTTCAGGTTACTTCATTTTAATAAAGAAATAGAAACAATCTATATTCCGTGTCTTTAAAGATTTGATTCATTGTTGTTGAAAAACACGACAAACAACTGAATGAAATTTACAAAATGGTCTTTAAAGAAAAGTGTTATTTTTTGTTTAGAAGCACTAAACTGAAATAGATTTCAGAGAAATCTGAGTTTAAATTTGTAAGAGACAAAAGTAAATTAAAGAATTGGGTTTTGGAATATGAGAGTGGGTCAGACGTAAGCAACTAACCTTTGGAGACAGCATGGGAGAAAACAGAAAATGGTAAAATTATTTATAAGAGAATCTAAGGGTTCATGGATTAGTAAAGTATATACTGGGATATAATGAGATTAGATATGAAGATTTATTTCAGGAAAAAATTTAAAAAGTTATTGAAGAGAAAGTCATTGGTGTTTAATAAGGAACCTCTAGAGTGCTAGTCTCAGTCCAAATCAACAGGAAGAAACATTTAAAAGGCCATCTAACTATACTTGAAACTAATTTAAATAAATAATTTTTTTTTAAAAGGCCATGCAGAAGTTCTCCCACATCTGTTACTCAACAGTGAGTTTGTAGAGTGCAGCAGCTATGTTTTCTTGCTGACTTTGCAGTAAAGAAAATGCTCTAAAATATTTTCCTTTTAAAAAAATATATGTTATCTTTGTAAAACTAATGTACTTGAAACCATTACAATGCTTATGAACTTATCTGTAAAGTTAATATGAGGATTTGCTATAACTTAGCATGAAAAATTTAGTTAACTGAAGGTGAAAATTGAGTTAATATTATCCATCTCTTCTACAAATATTCCTCCTTAGCTATTGAGAAACTATATGAAAACTATATAGAAAAAATTTAATCTAGAAAACCACTACTATTTTAAAGTGCATGCTCAGTTTTTGTTAATATCGATAGTACTAGAATTCTATCCTTCCGGTGAAACCACCGCAGATTATTTATTTTTATATGTGATTGAAATGTCTCATCTTGAAAACGTGGTTTATATAGGATTGAAAGATTCTAATTAGAACTATCTTTAACTTTGAGAGTTCACGTGACAATGGAGATCTGCTTGTCTGCATGAAAAAGTTGCCTGTGCTAATTCACAGGTGCATAACAGCTGTAAGTCATCTCACATGAAATAGAGGGCACAGAAATATTTTCCCAGACTGGAGTCAGTAAAATATGGAAGAGCAGGTTGGTTTTTTTTTTATTCTAATGTAGCCTCCCAAGTGATAATGTATGTCACGTATACCAAGTAATGTTAAAACTATTTGAAGAACATTTTTTTTCTGAATTCCCTCCTTCATGGCACTTTTAAAATTGATCATTTAGTAGTTATTTTTGAAAAAAATTCTGTAGTTTTTTAGAGTACATGCCACTTAAAAATCAGATCCACGTCCACAGGAAGTACCTCAGCACAACAGAAAAAAAAAACTACAGACCTAGAACTAGATTGCCTTGGTTTAGATCCTTTGTCCAACACATGTTAGCTGTGGGTCTTTGGGCAAATTACTTAACCTTTCTCTGTCTATGGTTATTCAATCTGGAAACAGGAATAATGCTAAATAGAGTTGGTATAGACGTGTAATGGACTTAGATGAATATTAGAAGAGTATTTGGAATAAAATAATTATTCAATAAATGTTAGCAATCATTCATTTTTTAAAAATTTTTCACAGAACTTACCAAGTGTCTATCTCATATATATATATATTTGATGAATTAATGCATAATAACCTTTCCAAGGTAATTACAAAATACTTATATTGCATTTAGTCCCAGTATGCCAGGCAATATGCTGGTGTGTTTTTACATGATCTTGTTTAATATTTGCCATGATCCAGTGTAGAGATTATTAATCTTTACATAAGAGAAAACTTTACATTTTACATAAGAGATTAGTACTTTGCCTACTGTCAGAAAGCTAGTAAGATAGAACCAGACTAAAACTCTGAAATCTATCTGAATAAAGCTTTGCTTTTTTTTATGTATGTAGTAACACTTGATTATTCATTCATGCATTTAAATGGCTGCTATGTATAAAGTGTTATTGCTAAAATTTCATGAATGTTGGTGAAGCTTCAGTTATATGACACATGGCTTATATTTTTATGGATCTTATTGTCATAAGATACTATAATACAAAAATAACTAACATAAAAAGGACATCATGTTCTACGCCATTCAAATGGCACGTAACAGAAAGCTACATTCAGAGAATAGAATCTCTAATTTATGAATCGGTAGGATTTCCAAGGGTCAAACCATTTGACTCATTTCAAGCAGAGATGTCTGGAGGAAGATGAGCGCAGAGTCAGTAAGGTCTAAGACACAAAATGAATATGACAGGAGTTGGGCTGCGGCATAAAGTACTAATAATGGTAAAGTACTTTATCAGCCAAAGTTCCTTCTGAGAAACAAAACTAGTAAGATCTAGTAGGATGTACACACACACACACACACACACACAATTTATTTTAAGGAACTGGTTATATAATTGTGGGAGTCTGGCCAGGCAAGTCTGACATATATATGGCAGGCTATCAGAAAGGGCAGGCTAAATACTCTTGGGCAGCAGCTGACCATGGGTAGAATTTCTTCTTTAGGAGGTTCTGTCTCTGTTCTGTTCTTGAGGTCTATAAATTGATTGTATCAAGCCCACTCAAATTATCCAGCATAACCTCTTTTACATAAAATCAACTAATTGTGGATGTTAATCATATCTACAAAATAACTTCATGACAACATGTAGATGAGTGTTTGATTGAATAATTGGATGGTATAACCTAGCCAACGAGACACATAACACTGACCATCACAAATACTAACGCTGAACAAGGCTAAAAATAAAAACATAATTTGAGAAGGCTTTGCATGGCAGGAGAAGCAGTTTGAGTAATCAAACTAATTGAATAGGGTTTAGGACAATAAATCTGTAGTATTCTGAAAGTTGATTCAGATTAAGAGAGATAGGATAACAGTAAACTTCTTAAGAAGTTACAACATGTCCTGTAATGTCATTTCTTTCAATGTTGTTTCATTATTACATTGATGAGATGCTGTAGGAACTTAACTCTTCTTTATATCAATTAGCTTATGGTAAAATTGATTTCATTATATATATCATTTTGCTTAAAGTCGTAGAACCTATAGATGATTTTAAGTGATGATTTACTGTATTTTAATGACCCAAGTGTGTGGTCATAAGTTTATATAAGGTAGTAGATAAACATATAGTGGAAAATAAAAATGTGCTCAGTATTTCAGGGGAAGAATTAATGCAGAAGAGGAATAATTTGTGTATTGGGCAAAATATATCTGTTTTCATTCAGCCTAAAAGGGAGAGAATGGTCATACCACTGAAAGATTCTCATTACTTCATTCACTTTTGGCATCTACTGGTTACAGATAAAAACTGATAAATTTAAGAGAGCTGTTTAAGAATTATAATTCTCCCTGAGGAAATACATAATAACATTTTACATTTAGATGTTTTCAGTTTTAAGGTGATAGTTTTCTGCTTTAATGTCATAATTCCTTTAGTTCTTTTCTTTAAAAAACATATTTTAATTCCACATTCTTTCACTTTATGGAACATTCTGTTTCAAAGAATCACATTTACTATTCATAGTGTACCTATTTCAGATTATGTGGGTATAAAATAGTTGGTTACATTAATACTAATTCACTGAGAATTCTGCATATTATCCTTTGTACTCTATAGTGATGTTTTTCAGACAACTGATTATGCTCCATGAAAAAAAAGTCAGGTCATGAAAATAATGCAGTAGGTCATGGGAGACATTTACACATGAAATAGAACAGAAGAGAAAGAGGAAAGAAATTTTCAGAATGCATATGGTAAACATCAATTTGTTGTATAAAATTGTGGTTCATAGTCATAAGAGTTTGAAAGCCACTGACTTTAAACAGTAATTTGCCTTTAAATAGTACTAAAGACTTCACCAGGTTTAACTAATTTAAATCATAAAATAATAAAAGGGGGAGCTGCTTGAAAGATCAATTTAATTTTTAATAGAAGAAATGATCCACATGTAAGTTTAACCACATGGCTTCATTGAATATAACATCTTAAAATGATTTCTGAAATATGCATGTAAACATGCTAGGAATGGTAGAGGAATAGAGTAAAATATAAATATAGTTTTGTGTACTCATTCATTCACACATGTACTTCTTTGTTTGACTCAAGCTCCTAATATATGCCAGGTTCTAATTTAGACAATGAGAATTGATTAGTGAACCAAATAGATAAAATCCTGCCCTCCTGGGACTTATATATAATAAGCAGAGTAATGGTCCTTTTTTGAGAGACACCCAATAAGAAAATATTAAGTATATTTATATTTGTATTTATTACTATAATATTAATTAGTATTATATAATATAGTATATATAGTATAGTATTAACATATTTTATTTACTAAGCAGTATTTCAGGGTGTAATAGTTGCAATGGAAAAAATTAAAATAAGA